GAGAGAGAGAGAGAGAGAGAGACATACAGGTAACAAATAAGATAATAATAACAGATTGAATTTGCATAGCACAAATTAATGCTGAACAGAAAGCTTCATGCGCTTTACAATCTATCATTACACAAACAGACCAAAATATGTGTCGCGAAGCGGTGGAATCAGGCGCTTGTCAATTTTTGGGCTTGTGAAGTTATTGGTATCATCTTAAAGGTTTTTCACTTGTTTAGCTTTGTATGAAAAAAAATATCCATTTATCTTTTACAAATCAAGATGTTGCTGATTGAAGGACATGGGGTCCCCTGGTTTCAGAGGTAAAACTAACGAGAAAATGGCCGCCAAAGTTTAGTTATTTCCTTAGCTTGAGAGTCCATGGGAACTGAAAGTGACATTTTTTAAATACCTTCAAACAACGTTTTTTCAGTAAAATCCACCTAGAAATGTGTTCTTTAATGGACATGGAAGGTCTTGAGCCAAAAAAAATAATTCAATAACATTTTCCAAACCTGTGGACAAATGCTAGTGTCTTCACTTTCATTATTTTGACGAGCGCCTGATTACACCGACAGACCAAATAGCTTCCTGAAACAATGTCAACTACGTGGGAAACATACGATGCAAGCTCCCATTTTCACAGGCGCTAAAATACTAACATACTGACAAGATCTTTCACAGTCTATAGCCGAGTACCCATTCTCACCTGGGTGAAGTGAGGAAAATTCGTGTGAACAGCCTTTCCCAAGCCAGGGACACAACTTCGGGCTCAAGGCTAAAATCCCCCGGACCCGCAAACTCACGATTACAATCGACTCCGGTACCCTAACCACTAGACTACCAAAGCCACACAGACAGACAGAAAGAAAGACAGACGGACAGGCAGACAGACAGACAGGCAGATGGATGGATGGACAGACGGACAGACTGACAGACAGACACTTAACACACTTTTTTTTACCTTGACCATCAATTCATTTATGGAGGCACCAGCCATCCATGTCCAGGTGCTGTTTTAGCCTATCTCACACACACACACAAACACACACACACCATCATCATCAATGGTTTATTTATAGAGGCACCAGCCATCTATGTCCAGATGCTGTTTCAGCCTCTCCTTCCTGCCGGCAGATTAATATTCTTTTTTCCAGTTTATTGGTTCCGCTTCCATGCACCGGTATCTAAGGTTCTCAACTCTCTCTCTCTCTCTCTCTCTCTCTCTCTCTCTTTCT